GGGTTGGGTTTAGGGTTTAGGGTGGCTTAGGGTGGTGTTGGTTTGGCATAGTTCGTCAGGGCAAATGCATTTCACTTGGAAGGCTTTTGACCAGGCCAGAAAATATTCACTTAGGGCCAAGTGCAACGGGGCGGATGATTGATATAAAATTATAAAATTACAAGGAAAGGGGTAAAGAAATTATCCTAAATTAAGTATAAATTATTTACTTAATGCTGCAGCTTTAAAAAACCTTCATGTCTCACTATTTTTCTCTCAGGGTTTCCCTATTTCTCCTCCATAATTTATAACCCACATGAAACGATTTATAGATTCTGTTCCTTGCATTTTCTATTGAATCTTTTCATAATCTATGGCCTGTATTTTCCTCTCCCCCCTCCAGACAGACATCTTTTGTATAATTTAAAGCTTACTTCAGCCTGGATTTTCCCCTTGAAAAATGAAAAAAATGGAAGATGAAAATTTTAAATCGCGTATACGCCGCATTGGCCATTATTTCCACTTACAACTCTTCTTTCAAATCGCTTTTTTTGTTGTTTGTTTTTGTGTATTTCTGAGATTTTTTCATCCCTACTCCTACTCCGAAAAGGAAGAGATAACTAGACTTGGCTGTAGTTTCGGTGGCTGTGTCTCACTTTGTTGAATTTTTATTGTAGCTTTTTATGCGCCGTATACAAGTTTTTATACTCTGATGCTGCTGCTGCCACTCCCTCTACCAGCCGAAACTTTGCGTTTTATTTATTTCCTGCCTTGCAAGTGCCAGGGCCACGCCCCATTTGAAATGGAAATGTTCTCAGCCATTTTATATTGTGTTTAATACAATTTAAAGGGGGGTTATGGGTTTTCGCTGAACAATTTTCAGTAATAAAAAAAAATTACACACACAGAGTTTTTTTTTTTTTTTTTTTTTTGCAATGGCAGATAATTTATGAACTTGTCAAATGTGTCTCAGTTTTCCCCGCCTCGCTGGGGAAATTTATTCATGCCTTTTGCCGTTGGAAAAAGAGTTTTATTTATTGTGATCGTTGAGGGGAAACAAAAATTACAAAAAAAAATGGGAATTTAACTTTATGCGAAACACAAAACCAAATGCATTCCATGGCAGGCCAGGCTCCCTCCTTTTGACCCCCTTTGGCAATTATTTGTATGTGTTTTTCTGGCTCTCTTCCGCTCTTTTTGGGGGCTCAAATTAAATTTACAATTTGTTTGACCGAAACCAAAAAGCTTAACAAAATTATTCTGATAGCTTCACAAAGAAGGGGGCAGGACGAAAGGGTTGGAAAATGACGGAAAATTGTATATATACGCTTTTAAGGCGGGGGCCAATGTCCTCTTTTAACCATGAGCACTTTAATAATAGTATTATTTGGTTAAAATTTAAGCCACCGGTTGGGTTTTAGGGTATTTTCTATGAAAAATCAAGATCAACGAGAGAAGAAAGTAACTATTAGTCCCTTTTTTATATATTTAATATTTATTTGATATATTAATAAACATTTTTAACCACTTGCCTTCAGCTTTAACCATCTACTTTTTCAGCCTAGGCTGCAATTTTAGACCCAGACTTAGTTCAGGTTATGAGGTTAATCCAATTTGAGTTCCATTTGTGCGCTTCATAAACCAAATTTTCATTTCTATTTTTTCTTATTGAATTTCCATTTCGATTTTCATTTGGCCAGACATTTTTCCAGCGGCTAACAATGAACTGGCACCGACCGACCCCGCCTGACATATTTGTGATCTATCAAAAAGCAATTCACTCAACCAAACCATCAGCATTCATTTGGAATCAGGCACAAACCCACCACCATCCATCCATCCATCCATCAATCAATCAATCATTATGCTCATAAAAATTAGCAACATCAAGCGGTAAACGGAACAAATGAAATGCCTAGCCCAAGCCGCAAAAATGTTTTGCATTTAAATTAATTACAATTTTCTGATGAATACAAATTACGTGTAGCGAAAATGTGAAAAATTAAAGGGCATTAAAGGGTTGTGGTGTGGGCGTTGTCCCACGGGGCGTATGAGCAACGCCGCTGGGTTTGAACCCTTTGGCGACAATAACACCTAAAAATCCATCAACATTCACTACGAAAGTGGGTGTATATATGCTGAAGGGGGTTTTGGTTTTCACTCCAACACCTTTTTGGAGTTTCCCAGCGGACAAATTGGAAAGCAAACAAGCACACAGGGAAAGCGCTGCCAGGGAAAACACGAATATTGTATGATCTTTCCACAAAATAAATGCATTTATAAGGGAAATTTAGAAGTTTTACAGAGAAGATTTTTTTCTATTTTTCCAAAAATAAATTTAACAGAGCACATATTGCACTTATCACCAAAAAAATTATTGGGAAATTCTGTTAGACATTTCCAAGAAATGTGATTAGGTGCCATTAAAATCCATAAACTCACAAATCACAAGCCAATTTAATTTATTTGTGGATCGGCCACTTCATTCCTAGAGTTTTCTTGTTGGAAAAAACCAACAAACAGGCTGCTACCCACAAAAAAAAAGTGTGTGCTCCCCGAAGAAAAGAATTTTATTGTATTTATTGCCGTGTGTGTGCTTGGGGGCGGGTGGGAAAAGTGGGCGTGTGGGATGTGTTTGGAAAATCTTACAAGCCGCTGAGTGACAAGGGAAGGGAAAAAATTGCCCCGGAATGTTTGTTTTATAAACGAACTTTTTTATTGCCACAAAGTGGCAAGCAACAAGCCCTCGATAAATATATATATAAAGTTTCAAGGTGGGTTGAACTTTTCCAGAACCAAAAAAAAACCCAGAATGCACTTTTCCCTGACGTTGGTCAACTGCACTGCCAAAGCCTCGTCAAACAGCTTTGATGGATAATTTATTTAATACCTTTGTTTGTTGTCTGATTGTGTTTGTCGCCAGAGAAAAGCTAAAGAGCCTCCATTGACTCTTCATTTCCTGTCTCAAATCCGTTTGTTTGCCTTTGCTTTTTTGTTGTACAGAGATAAAAAACGTAATGTAATGTTTTGAAATTAACAAATTGGAAATATTTTTAGCTAAATTTTTGATATTTAAATATTATTATTTTGAGATGCCTTTGGTATGAATCCCCTGATTGAATATTTGTATATTTCTCTAAATTGATTTCTCTATTCAATTCCTTGACTTTCTTTTCAGTGTAGATAGAAATCGGAAGTGTTTTTTTGATTCTCTGCCTTTTTGGGGGGTGGCAAACTCTTTGATTTGATTAGTGCTATGCCATCCCCTTGTCGTCCTTCAACTGATTGCTCTATGAATGAGTCCCGATGAATGGCCACAAAGGAGGGAAAAATCATTCCCCTTGCTCTCTTCTTTTTTTTATGATTTTTTTCCCTCAATTTTTCAGCTTTGAAATTGATTTGGCTTCGTCAGCGTTTTTCGCTGTGTCGGTATGTGTAGGATCTTCTATATATATGTATGTATGTACATACGTGCTCCTCTATATTCGGATTCTGGAATTAGCTTGTTTCCTGAGCTGTCGTCGCACATGTGCCCCGAATTTTGAGCTCCCAAATTGAGTTACAAAACTGGAATGATGTTAATGAAGCGCCACAGCAATTGCCCAAGTGCCTGGGTTGATTTTTACTTGGATTTTCTAGCAGAATGTTTGTGCTTTTTATAGGTTTTTCAATTTTCCAGCAACTGGGCTTTGTATATGGAGCTTGGCACTTAATTTTATTATATTCTTTAACTATTTTCAGGAGTAATATTTGTAATACCATTTTTTAATAAGGGTTATAAAGGTATTAAATAGTCTTGCTTAATTAATTAATAAGAATTTTTATATTAAAAAATATTAAAAATTTATTAGGAAGCTTATTTAATTTTTGTTTTTAAAATTTAAAAATTTATTAATAAATTAATAATAATATTTACATTTAAAAATATTAAAAATAGATTAAGAAGCTTATTTTATTTTGGTTTTTAAAATAAAAAAAATTTATTTATTAATTAATAAAAATTTTAACATTTAAAAATATATTCAAAACCTTTTTATATATTTTTATTTTTTTAATTTAAAATCCTCTTTGAGTAGATAAAACATAAAAAAATGGTTTTATAAATTTATATTTATCAATAAAATATTTTCAAATACTTGCATTATTTTTTAAGCATTATTATATCGTAAATAACAACAATAAAAGTTAATAAACAATTATAATCCATTAGAGCAAACTCCCCACTTAAATCTTGGCTGCTTTTTGACATCTTCTCTTGAGATTCTTGCACATTTTTCACTTGTTCCACTCATTAGACACCCATTAGTCAGCGTAATGCCCGCGTTGATCTATGCCAATTCATTCTGCTCGGAGATTCCCTTCCCTCCGGAAAATCTATACCCCCGAGGGGAAATTCTTCTGTTCAATCCACCGCAGCACAGTTGCGACTCATTAAGAAATCATTTTTCACAAGGAGCCCAAGCAAACTGGCGGCCAGATACAACAAATAAATATAGAAAACAAAAAAAAATAATAGGGAAAGCTGATTTTCTAAGAATAGAACTCGGGGAGGAGCACACACTTGTTGAAAATTAGAGAGATGTGGGAGAGCGAGCCCATGACCTCTGGAATATTTCGGAAAATCTCCCCATTATGGCATATCTTAAATACCAGAGCATAATCCCTCAGAATCGGTAGATTTATTTGCAGCCTCTTACCTTGATTTTTTGTTGTTGTTTGTCGCCTCTATGCTTGCCGCTCCATGGGTTGTGTGGTTGTGCTTAGCATTGTAAATTTATTGAGATTTTAATTGAATTTATAACGCGAACTTAGGGGGATTTTATTTTGTTGAGTATTATTTGGTAATTGTTCTTCACTCTCCTCTGCACTTTGATCTCTTTTTTTTCGTTCACTGGTTTCTCGGGTTTTGTGTTTATTGTTGACTCTTGTCCATCGGCTTTATTTATTTACCTATTATTTATTTTATTACTTTCCGTAATTATTCTGTTTTGTTTTGCTTTGTATGTTTTGGTTTTGGTTTTTTTTCTTTGTTAATAACTTAAATGCAATTTGTTCTAATTAATTTATATGATATGTTGAATTAATTGCATTTTACTTTCGTAATATATTTGGACTCTATTTCAGTCTATTTGAGCTTTGTTTACTATTATTTAATTAAGTATCAATTAGTTTATTATGAATTAAGTTATTTAAATTTTAAAATATTTCAAATATATATAGAAGAATTTTGTAATAATGCGATAGTTTTTTTCTTTTTTACTTTTTGTCTTAAAAAAGGGTCTTCTTTGTGGGGCGTCGTTCTATTTCAGAGCGTGTCTGCAATGTAAAAGGGAAAGGAATTGATTAGTTATAAATTTTAAAAAGTTAAATGTAGTAAACAAAACTTAAACTAAGTTCTAATTTTATTTTTAGATATTTTTTATACAAAAATTCAACTTTTTTAATGGCTTCTTTAAACAAAACCTTCTCCACTATATACTTTTAGCTATATCTACCTCTTCCTTTCATTTCTTATGGCCTTCTCTTTCTTTTCGTTGACCCAAAGACAGAGTCAAAGATGGCCTGGTGGGTTGGAGAAGTTGCCATTCCCATTGAATTATGCTGCAATAAATTTCACCTCATAAGCCAATAATGACGAAAACTTTTGTGTTGCACATTTCGTGCCATGCGGCTGGCCTACTCCTGCAATTTCCCCCTACCCCCCACTGATGCCCGATCCTGGCTTCGACCTGCATAACAATGTCCTACATTCCCAACACGTACCAGCGACAACAGCAACTGTGGGATGCTATTTAACAAGCGGGCATGGGGCGTGGCACACCGCCCACTTTTCCCGACCAAAGCGAGAGCGGGAGCGAGACAGACAAATGCGAAAATTGCATACGAAACGTAACGGAAATGCAAAGCCCAAAGTTATTGAGACAGAAGAGAGGTGGGAAATGTGGAAAATGTGGAAAAAGGCGAGGAAAATCGGGCTTGTCAAACTTATATATATGTATGTATATGGGATATATGTACATATCTGTGCCTATATGCATATGCGGGCCATGATTAAAGCCAACTTAAAGCGAAACTGCAAAAAAAGGCAACGCGAAAACTTGGTAAGAGATAGGGGAGAAGGAGTAGCTGGCAAGGGAAAGCCAAGAGTAGCAGAAGGAGAGGCTACACTTGGCGAAAAATAAAGCTTAAAATTTAATTTGATTACTACAAGTCTCTTTAGATAAAATATTACCTTAAAACATGTATTTTAACCAAGAATTTGTTATAATTTTTATTTAGAAAAATGAGAAAGAATTATGGTTTGAAAAATAAATTTTTCCAAGTGCTTTGAGCTGCACATTGAGGTGACTGCATAATATATGCACACATCGCGCCTTCCACCGCCACCCCAAACCCATTTCTCCTCCCCCCTTGATATATGGTCTTGTACAGTTAAGTAGTTACTATATACGATGGGGCCAGCACAAACATTTCCGGGCTGCTTTCGTTTTCAAGACAAAGCCAAAAGTCGAACTTCTTCTTGGCCAAAAAGGGGTTGAGCGACGTCTTCGTCGTCGTCGTCGCCGTCGTCGTCATCGTCAGCTTTGAATCTCGGTCAACAGGGGAAATCGAGGGGGTTTGGAGCACCCCAAAAGAAAGTCGGGGAAAGATGGGAAAACTCCGGGCCACATAAATTGGCGGCGGTTCTATGTTATGTATGAAAAGTCATGCCATTAAATAAATATTGTGTAATGCGACGTCTGTCTATGCCAGAACTATTTAATTAAATTTGGTATTTTTTTCACTTGTCTGATTTAGTTAGTTTAACCAATTTGCATATGGCAAAAGGCCAGGACCGGGGAGTCTGTTAGCCTTACGGATTTTCATTTTCCATTCGCATTTAGCGAAACTTTCATGTGGTTTTGTACACTTTTTTGGCTAACAGTTCTCGGATTTAAGTAGATTTGTGTTCAAAGTAGCTAATGGAGCCAGGAATAACGCAGTTCTGCTGTAGGGTTTCTGTGATTACAAACTATTTAAGTGGTTAGGGCATTTAGCCAAAAGAGTAGGGAAATTATTTAAAATAAAAAGGGATTACGGTTTTTTTTATAAGAAATATTTATAAGCTAGAGAGGAGCCTTTTCTTAACTCTAGAATTTAAAATTCAAGTGTTGTATTTATTATATTTATTATATTTATTATATTTATTATATTTATTATATTTATTATATTTATTATATTTATTATATTTATTATATTTATTATATTTATTATATTTATTATATTTATTATATTTATTATATTTATTATATTTATTATATTTATTATATTTATTATATTTATTATATTTATTATATATAGATTTATAATATTTAAAAATTGAAAATTGATTTATTTTTTAAAAATATGCTTTTTTGAAATCATTTCTCTTGCTTTTTACCGGCTTAAAACTTTTTATTGGGTTTCCCAAGTTTCTAAATTAAATACAAAACTTTATTATCCATTTTTTGTGTCATTAATAAGTCCCTTTGGCACTGCCTTTAACTAGCACTTCCCTCCTATACGGCATAAGTACGCGATGTGTACCCTATTCTTAGCTAGACAATTTTTCATCTTCATTCAAGCACTTTAACTAAGTTAGTGCATCGTTATGTACCCAACAGTCTCATCTGCTCGTCCCTCGTCCTTCGTCCCTCCCGCTCTGCTCTCCCCCCTTTTCGTTCTCTCTTCTCTCTGCTCTCCTCGAGCTCCTGTTCTTCTTTTTGCTATTCATCGCCATCGCGAGGCACGCTTATTCACACTTATCGAAGCATACTTATGGGCGCAGGCGAAGCTTAAGTGCAACATTGTTGATGCTGTGGCTAAAGTCACTATAAAAAAATTATAGAAATAATGATTTTCAATATTTTTGTATCTATTTATATTGAGGATTATTTATAAAACAATTTCTATATTTTAAAATAAACAAGAATACAAGTTAAACAAATATTTTTAAAACCCATATTAACCTTTTCATGTTCTGAAATTAAACAGACTGATTCACTGCTTTGAGATATATTTGATAAATTTTGGGAATTTTCTAAATTCATTGTATACTTTTAGATGCCCCAATTTAGGGCTTTGAAAACTCCTAACTGAACTTCTTACCTTAAAACCGTTTTTTCAGTCTCGCAGTCAAGTTTATTCTCTAGCTCTATATTTTTCGCTTAGTGTACTCCAGCTGTTTTTATTGTTGTTGCTGTTTGGTGAGTGTAAAAATGGCGTGTGTTTTTTGTTGTTGTTTCTTGTGTGCTGCCTCATTGCATTTTCGTTTTTGGGGGCATTCGCTTGATTATGTATATTTACCCTAACACATTGGGCGGGGCAGCGGGGAGCCGAGCGTGTAATTGCTATTTACACTGGCGCACACACACACACACATATACTTATACACCAACACCGACACCGACTTTCCCTCACACACACAGACGCAGAGACAATTATGTTTGTGTGCCTGATTTGATGGCGATAGCAGGCCAGGCCAGAAACCAAATCAAAGCCAACAGCAAACAAATAAACACAAACACCAATACCAGCACCAAACCCAAGCACAAAAGGATGGCACACACACACAGATGCGGCACACACCCATACACAGACACCTAGCCGCTCGGATGCATATGTATGCAGAATTTTGCAATGGTTTAATGCGCGACCTAAAGACCATTTAAACTAGGACAAATGAGGCCAGGCGCAGGACCCGAGACCCGAGACCCAAAACCCCTCCAGAACTCAACCCCAAAGCCCGATCCAAACCCAAATCCGAGCCGAAACTGAGGCCAACAATGGAGGGATATATGTCGAGACAACAATAAAGCAAGTCACTTTTGTTTTTAGTCCGCATTATATATATATATATATATATTTGTCATTATGCTACTTGTCTATATCTGTATACATGTCTTTATATTTATATGTTTTTTTTTTCAGGAGCCTAAAAAGAACCGATAGGGATATATGTATATTGACACGTTCCCCCACTTTGGCATTGCCCGTTTTTTATTATTTGCAATTCGGTTTCCGTTTTCCTGCTTTAAAATTGGGTCAGAGAAGAAAAAGTCTCGCTGAAGAGCAGAGTTATTGGTTGCCAAAAACTAACTTAAATCAAAGGAATATCTACAAGGCCTGAACAAGTCTGTAAACAATCTCTAAAAGTTTGTTCTTAATTATAATAATACTTTATTAAGGGTTTTTTATTGTTTAGTTAGCGCAAAAATACAATTTGATTGTAAAAAATTCAAAGAAATTTAAAGAAATTCAACAAAAATCAAAGAAATTCAAAAAAATTTGAAAAATTCAACAAAATTCAAAGTATTTCAAAGAACTTAAAAAAAAATTCAAAGAAATTAAAAAAAATCAACGAAAATCAAAGAAATTTAAAAAAAATCAAAGAAATTCAAATTTTAATTCTTAATATAATTCTTCTACTAATAATTAATTAAAATTTTAAGCCAGGTATTTAAAAGTTGACACTAGACAAATAAATGCATTACCTATTTTGCCAAGTTAGCCTTATATTTAAAATAATTAACGAAAAACATCTAAATTGCTTCAGTTTTTTTGCACAAATATTTAATAAAAACTAAAAAATAAATAAATATTTCTTTTGTGTAATAAATATACTTGTGTCTACCCTGTTCCGGATTTTTTTTTTTGATTCGGATTGTGAAGATTTCAGTTATGCTCGCAATTGATACTGGCCGTGAGTAAATTTATTTTATTTTAATTTATTTATAATATTTTCCATCCATTTAGTTGTTCTTTTCTTCTCCTATTTTATTGCCGCTGTTGTCTTTGTTGTTCATTTCATGTTTGAATGATTTTTTCCTTTTTTTCAATTTTTTTTTAATAGCAATTTTCAGTTTATGGACATGATTTCCTCTGACGCTGCCGTTCCAGCTTATGTAAATAAATAAAAATGTGCAAAAACAAAATTGAAATGAAATTTCATATGTCATTATATTGCACAATTATTCCGATTGTTTTTTTCCATTCAACTTTGCACTTCGGCGTTTTTTGTTATTTCTGCATATTAAATGTGAAAGCGCCAACATTTGCATTAATTTTTTGTGGCCATTTTGATATGATTGTTTTTTTTTTTTTTCCTTTCATTCCGCCCTCAATTTTTGATGATTTAATATGGCAAAATGTGCGGAACCAGTTCCGAAACATGTATGGAAATGGGCCAAAACGGGGGAAGGCAGTCCCTGACAATAATTATTTGTGATGGAGGAAGCCAAGTGGCCATTTCTTTACGAAATTCTGTATAATTTTACGATTGAGCATTAATGGATATGACAGCGTTTTTTTGCACTATGAATAAATTGTACAAAAACATAAAATGTGTAATCAGGGTTTAAAAATAATATGTAAATGTGCTTAAGCATTGATTTTTGTTTATGAATGCAAATTATAGATGTATTTATGAATTTTAAGGAATATATTAGAGTTAGCTTCTTTATTTTTAAGCTAATTATTTAGGCTCTATTTAGTTGAAGCAATTTTTTATTTTATTGTTATGCCAACATTCTAGAGGCGCGACCTTTGATCAACATTATGTAAATATTTGGTTGACTTTAGGGCTATAATTTAATGCCCCCGTGGGCTTTGTGAAATTCCCCCCACAAAGATAAAAAGAATTGGTCTAATTTGCAGTTAAAGTCCAAAAAATTCATATATCAAATGCCTTAAGCCCCCGCAAAAGAGATCGCAACAATTGGAAGAGCAAGGGAAAATATCAGAAAATTATTAATAGACCCCGTGTTCGGAAAAGCGTCGAGATCAAGATGAGAGGACTGCAAGAGATGTTTTTGCCGCTGCGGTTCGTTTGGTTCCCAAATGAGCGATGGGCTGGCAAAGATGCCGAAAGACATGAACAAATCATCAAATCAACTCGGCATTTATTTTAGAAATATTGTAATTTTTTCCCATTTCGCTAGCCGCATTTTGTTTTGCCTTTGTCTTTGTTTATGTTTGCCCAGCGTCGGCAGCTGATGGCTGAATTTGTTTATAAAGTTCTTTGGCTTTAACAAAAAAAAAAGGGGAAGCTAAGAGGTAGATTTTAATGTTAATTTTTTTGTTTTTATTATATTAAGAAAACAAAAATAATTTTAATATATTTTAAAATTGATCTTGTTACAAAAAATAAGCAAGAATAAATTCTTAACTTGGCTAAAAAATTTTCAAAAAAGTGAAATATATTTTATAGACTGATTTAAATATAGTCTTAATTAATTATTATTTTATTATAGTAGTAGCAGTAAAATAAAATATTAAGAATTGCTTTCAAAGTGATTTTTTAGAAAAACTTAAGGGAGAGTAAAAAGAGAAATTACTTTCTCATATTTTTGGTTGTTGAACAAGCCATTAATATTTACTTTAACATAAAACCACAGGAACAAATCTCAAAAACCCGAAACTTGAGAGCACTTTTTGTTGAACAAGACATTAAAAATACCCCCAATGAAATTGTTATGTTTTTAAATAATAATAAGCAAGTAAACAAACCACCTTTTGCGATGAGCAATTACCTTTGAAAATAAAACCTATGGTATTTTCACAACATTTAATTATTCATTGCCTATTATTAAACAAATAATAAGCGATGGGCAATCATAAAAAAAAAGAAGAACAAATATATTGCCTCATCCGCACTTCATCACAGCCATAAAAAAATGCCTTTGGCATTCCATTATCTAAATACTTTTTCCATACCCAGCAAGAACACAAATATATCTGTATTTTCTTTGGCTCTCCCCAATACTTTTTGTGTTAATATTTATTTATATGAAATATTCTTTGATTTCCCACGAAATAGGTCAGGTTTTTGTTTGAGGTGGGCATTTCATCGCGTATATTTCCCGAAGCGGAAGTGTTCGACCAAGAATTGGCCACAAATCAGCGGAGTTAGCTCATAAAAAAAACACAAGAAAAATACACAAAACAAAAAAAGAGCAGGTACTTGACTCGATCTTTTGATCAAATGGTATACGTATATATCTAATATAGTATTTACACACCTTGAGCCACTCCACTTAGCCTCAAAGGCAGCCAAGCTGGCTGCCAAACATTTTGTCCGGTTTTCCAGCAATTTTCTCAGCGTGTCGTTCTCGTGTTTTCCTTTTTTTTTTTTATTGGCGATTTATAAATCGAGGGATTTTTCACTTGTCCAAAGTACTTTTCCCAGTGGCTTTTCCTTGAGTTGCTGCTGTATATTTGTTTGTTTTTCTTGCTTCACGCACTGCATTTTGCCGACATTATTGTTGCCACTTTTAATACATATATTTGTGGATTTTTGTGGTTGGACTTTTTATTTGATTTTTGCGGCAAGCTCACAACACCGCACGTTGTTGTTCTTGCTGCTGTTTTGGATTGGGTTGTTGGTTAAAAATTGGTTATTTCGTTTTTGTTATTTTATGTTTGTTTTTATTAGTTTATTTTTTTATGTTTAATAGAAAAGAGCACGTTAAAAAAATTTGTAAAAAAAATGTCGCTCGCGTGTTAGAAACCAAAGAGAAAAACAATAAAGAGCGTCCAGTGTCCAGCGGCACGTGTGTGTGGGCGCGAGTATGCGTGAGTGTGCGGGCCCAGTGCTAAGTGGGAATGCTGTTCCAGCTTCCGTTTCCGCTCTACACTGCACTGCACTTCCGTTCCGTTCCGTTCGGCGTTTCGATCTCGACACGACTCTGCGACGCTTGTGCGTCGCAGTTCGCTCGGCCTTTGTTCGGCCGCTGCCGCTGCCGCTGCCTCAGTCTCTGCCGCGGCCGGCGTCAACAGCGACGTCTACCGCACTGCAGGCAGAGAGAGAGAAAGAGAGAGAAAAAGAGTCGACAGCGGCTCTCAGGAGTTGCAACTCCTTAGATTTTCCCAAAAAAAAATTATAAAAATCATAATAATAAAAAAAAATCGTTTTTTTTTTAATAAATATGCACTATTTTACATTTGAAGTCGTTGCAAAAGCTTAAATTGCATCCACTATTTTTTTTTTTATTTTTTTGAAATAAAAAAAAAAAACACATATAGGCCTAGAAATAATTTATTTTGAATTTATTGTTAAAATATAACAATTTTCTTGCTGTCAAACCTCAGACTGATTTTGGAAATGGTAAATTCACTACTAAATGAAGTTTTTCTTAAAACATAAGAAATCTATTTGTAAATTTAGTTGAATATTTATTTTTTAATACTCTGAGAATATATTTTTCTATAAACAATTTACCAATCACAAGTAATTCAATTATATTACTTTTTTTTAGGACGTCCTAACTGTTAGAACTTTTAGTATATGCACAAGATTAACTTTTTTATATTCCGAAAGGTTCGAAATAGATTTTTTAACTTGAACATTATTTAAGGAAATTTAGATATATAAACATTAATAATCCAAAAGGCTAACTTTATAACATTTAAATTTTAATTTAAAAATACAGCATTTTTTAGGTCAAAAAGTATTATTGGCAAGTTTGTTAAAATCTGGTTTCCTTTAAGCTTAAACCTATCCACTATCCACAGTTTTCAAAATTAAATCCTCACTGAAGTCGGCTCAAAAATCTTTGAAAATCCTGCAAAGTGCCAACCAGAAACTCGAAAATAACCTCAAAAACTCGAACTCGTAACTGCAGTTTTGGAATCCTTCAGAAACACACACATACGCACACCAGAACACTATCGCCACACACACGCGGTGGAATAACGGTTGCCAAAAAAAAAAAAGAAAAAAATATATAAAACAATACGAAGTAGAAAAACCGCAAGAAGAGAGTTTCGGGGAGTGTGAGGGGAGAACTGAGAACTGAAAGGAGAATCGGATAAATGTGTGGGGATGTTAGAATCTAAGAATCTGAACGGAGAAGACGCAGACCCGTGAACGTGTGCGAACACGCGGAAAAACAAATGCAAACTGTTTTTGCTGCAGGGAAAAACGAAATACGAAATACGAATTTCAGAAAACCAAAAGCCGACGCACACGACCACCGACGACGCCGGCGTCGGCAGCGCGCCGAAGCTCCAAAGCGCCGGCCGAAGGCGCAGCGCTGTCTTCGGCTGGCCAGCGATGCAGCGAGCGCGCGAGCAAGATGGGGCTAGAGAGCGCCACACGAGCAACGTCACGAAGCTGATTCGTGCCTGCACTGCCGGCGTCGCTGCTTGCTGCTCGTCTGCTCACTGCTCACTCTCCTGCGGGCAGCGGCAGCGGCATCGGCAGAGGCAGAGGCCGAGGCGAAGCTTTCACGTGGAGTTCCCGGCAACGAAGGAGAGTGCCGGCTTGCCGCTCCTGCTGCAGCGGTTGCTGTTGTTGTTGCTGTTGTCGCTCGTGTTCCTGCCTGCTGCATTGCAAGGCATCAGTAATTGACAAATTGCCTACATTGAAGCGCTAATCTTTTAAGGGAGCGCAAGTGCGAAAGGGACGGGTCGAAGCCGAAGGCAGAGAGCTTGGTGTGGAAGGATTGAGGCAGGAAAAAGCCAAAACCTAACTCAAAACTTAAATATAGGTTTAGTAAAATAATATTAGCTCTCAAAATAGAAGAATAAACATAATAATATTGGTTAACGAAATGTTGAATAAATATTTAATTTTTAAAGTAGGAGAAAAGTCATGGTATTTCAAGATCAATTTTTAATATTTTATATTCGTTTATTTTGCCTTTTTAAGTGCTCTTAAAATCTCTGCTATTTTTAGTTTAAAATTAAGAATTTCTTGAATTCTAGACCTTAGTTTCTTGTGATAATAATTACAAATTTCCAAATTAACATAAAACATTTGATATTTCTTAAGATATGAGATTTCCTTGGCAGTATAACTGGGTTAAGCTAGACTGTTTTTTAATAAACTAAACTTCATTTTACTATTTTGTCTTCATTGAAACCCTTTTATATATAATGCCTATCAAATGAATATAGTGATGTCAAATAATCTAAATCAATTTAATAAATTATTATTACTTAAAAATTAAATTTTGTTTATTTATTTTGCTTCCAAAAACCTCTTTCTCTGACAAATTAAATCAAACAAAATGGAAAATCCACTGCGCCTAAGGATATGCAACACAAATGGCCCAGCTGTTAACTAACAGCTAAAAAGCTGTAGCAATGGCTGACAGCTGCTAGCTAACAGCAATGGCCGCCTAACAGATCGCTCGCCAAATGCAGCGCCATGTTAAAAATGGCAGCGCAGTTGGCGAAGGAAGCGGGCAGAGCAGGCGACGTCGCCGTAGCGGTCGACGCTGGCCGAAAAAAACACGTTTTTGTTTCTGTGCAGAAGGCATTCACACCGAAAAGTTTTCACAGCTCCTGCTGCACGTGCTTTTCACGTTTTCCCGACCCCGAGCATCCCCCACTCGACCCCCCCACTCTTGTTCTCTTTCTCCTTGTCTCTCTCTCTCTCCCTGTCTCTTAGACTTGCTGAGGTTTTTGGCCTAGCCGGTTTTTTTGGTTTATATTATTTAAGTTATCAAAATATAGCAAAAAAAAAATAAAATAGAAAACAAGATCATTTATAAGCAAAAATTTTTAATGGGTATATCAGAAATAAATTATGAATCATAGTTAATTGCATTGAAGAATTTCAAAGAACAATTATTAGATATTCTAAAAACAATCATAAGATATTTAAAAATTATTTTAATTATAACACGTTAACTAATTAAACAGAACAGTTTTTAAAATAATATGTAAAGGCTGTTTGATTAAAATTACTTCAATAGAACCACTCTCCATTGTTTATATATTATTGTCTATATTTTAAAGAAACTCAACGAAACTCCTGAAAGTTAATATAAACTGTAAATAAATAAGTCTCTTCCTGGCAGGTTTTTTAATATTTTCAGAGTTCTATTATTCGCTTTTTAAATTTATAAAAGTATATAAAATGTAAGCCACCAAATACCTTGCTTATTAATTATCATTATTAGGATTATTTAGTATGTCCAATGTTTGACTTAAGAAAGGCACTGAAAAAAATGCATAAAAAATTGCACAAAACATTCGATCAAAAAACGGTTCAAAATACAAATTCGAGAGAGTTTCCCACACACACACATTGACGTCACAGGCCAAGCTTTTGTTATTGTTGTTTTGTTTCTGCTTTATTTAGGTGATGCAATCGAATGCCGCATTTTACACACACACACACACATTGGCGCGCTCTCTCTTTCCCTCACACACACACACACACACACTGACAATCACTCGCTCCAAATATATTTTTGTTGTTTACTGTTACGCGAAGTTTTCCATTTTGCAATTTAGTTTTGGTCTTAGTTGCATGTGGTTTTTCTTGTTGTCGGCTTCAGCACGAATTTCGAGGTGAAAAGCGGCGCGTGTTAATGCACCACTTCCTGTTGGGCTACTGTACCGTTATTATTTTGTGCAATGCCGGCAAAAGAAGCGCTTCACAACTCTCTCTCTCTCTCCCTCTCCCTCTCTCTGTCTCCTACTCTCTCTTCTCCCGCTGGCCCGATTTTCCGCTCTCGATTCGCTCCCGTTGAGCGACGTTCGCCATGCAGCAGGAAAACTGCAATGAAAACTTCGGGCATGCGATTTGAAAATTGTGTCGTCAGCTTGACACAATTTTCCAGAAATGCGCCTGGAATCAAGTCTGTGCGAAAAAAAGAAGAAGCACTAGAAGAAGAGGGAAACCAAAAACGGGAATGGAAACGGGAATGGGTTTAAAATCGGAGAGCTTTGCAGATGCGCATTACCTTCGGCTAACGGGTTTTCGGGATTCGTATGCGGATTTGGGCTAGGATTCGTGCTTCGGCCGCTCGCCGCCTTTCGGCCTTTTTTTTTTGGGCCTTTGTTGATGTAGGTCTGGATTTTCAGGACACGTGTCCCCAGTGGTTCCCGGTGGGTGGTAGCTCCCACCTCCATTCAATTCCCTGGATGGCTTGGCCGAATTTCCCTTCTACTTGACACTAGATTCATTTACATTTTCAGATTTCTGTCATATTTTACAGATTTTTTTGTTTGTAGCCAGAAATTTATTTAAATTTACAAAATAAAGTAAAAAAAAAATAAACATGGTTATACTCTGATACTGGTGTGTGTGTGTGTGTGTGTTTAAGTCAGTGTGCGTGCGAGTTCAATAACATTTTGGCAAATAAAAAAATAAATAAAGCCAGCAGCTTGCAGCAGCTGCAGTGAGCCATTGAGAGAGAGAGAGAGAGAGAGTGAACGCTCTGTATGCTGGCCACAAAAGAGCGAGAGCATGCATCCTGCTCTCTGGTAACTTAACAGAACCGTAACATTTTCCCATTGGGAAGCTTTTGGGAGCACGGAAATACATGAGCTTCAAGCGGGGGGACCTGCCAGCAGATCGTTTCTGGGAAGATCTGCCAACCAAGAAATATCTGCATAATTAACCCGACTTAATACCATTAAAGTTATCAACATTTGTCAATTCACCAAAAATAAATGTATTTAAATAGTTTAGTCATAAATATTTAAAGCCTTTCACTGAAATTTCTAAATGAATTACAAACACTAAGGGGAACCGATAAGATTAGGATTCGGAAACGTACATATTTGGGTAAACCCAGCTAGTGTTCGAATGTGTTTCCAACTGATAAGCATGATTAAGCTGAATAAAAGTTGTAATTGTTTGGCCCAATTTGTTTACCACATAAAAGTTCGAATCAAATTTATTTACAATATCGCATTAAAGTCTCAAAACAATGATTTTAAAGATTTCTTAGAAATCTATCAGCTTGCTTAAAAATTCCATTGCATACATGTTAATTTTGAATGTTTTGGCTTAAAGATTTTGTATAAATTTAGATTACGTACAAATACTTCCTAATTCAAATGATTTGGCTAAAAAAATAATGTTTAAATATTAATCATCTTGCTTAGGAATTTCATTACTCACTTGTTATTTCCGGAAACTAACTAAATAGTTAACAACTTAAGTTTTCTTAACTTCCAACGGTGGCTTGCATTCGAGTGTGCCCGAAAACTCCTTCACGGATATCTCCAGGTAGATCGGCTCCGTGTCATCGCTGGTAAGGATACGCAGATCCTGTTCGCAGAGCTGCATGTAGTGAGTACTGGAGCGCATAATCTTCAGGCAGTTTTGCGTCTTGTGCAACGGACGCGCCTTCATCACACAGCTTCTGGTTGCATCCATGCGGCGATTCAGTACGGTCATTATCACATGCACCGGCAGGGCTAGGTCCACGGTCACCACCCAGAAGGTCAGGACATCATTCCGTTCCGAAAGACATTCAGTGCTCCACTCGCTGTACCCCTTTCGGCCGCCCTCGACGGTGCTCCATCGGTTCCGGCAGACCATTACGAAGAGGGGCAGGTGCTCCGAGTACTGGGCAAAGGCGCACGGCAATTGCCTATTCCGGGTGGGCATGAACCGCCTACCCGGCAACGTGGAGGGGTCGTTGTAGACGCCCGCATACGCCATCGCCGACATGCATGAGTTCCGCCCAAGGGCGTAGGATCGCGGATTAAAGATGAGCAGCAGGCGGTCGCCGGAGAAGATCTCCCGCAGCTCTAGACCACGCTCGTGGAGGTGGTATCTCATCTTGTGGCCCAGGATAGTCTCGTTCGTTACCGGCGGACAGCACATGCCGCCTATTGGGCAGCAGTACAGGGTCCCATTGATTGGCACCGGTCTTGGGACGGGCTTGTGATCCTGGTAGTACTTTCGATACGTCTTGTCCGATGTGTCCTGCAGCTTACGAAGTTGGCGAAACCTTAGCTCAGTGTCTTTCAGCCGCTCCTCAGTGCTGAGCATATCGAACTCGATAGCAAAGTAGCGGACCCGCTCGCGGGTTTCCTCTTTGGATCCCTCAAAGAGCGGCACCATCGAGAAGCCAGCATCTAGCCGGTCTATTGTCCGAAACTTGAGCTTGTCCACCTGAGAGTAGAGGCCGCCCGTAGGACTAGTTGCGCTCCCGTAATGTGCTGCCCGCCAGATCTTTGTGAATGTATAATTGGAGTCCAGCGATGGCAGCCGCAGTCCTCTGGAGCAGCAATAATCTGGCTTCATTCCCGATGGGCGGCTGCTGGCCAACTCCAAAGTCAGATCTAGGGCCAGACAGGACTCGCTTGCTGGCATATCAAGGGTTGTCGTGGAAAAGGATGTTGGATCCTGCCCCTGCCTCTGGCTACCACTGCTGTGTGAATAAACCAAACTTCTGGACGATAAAAGCGTCTCCAGGAGGGGATCTTCGCCGACCTGTGGTTTTCTAGAGAAGACCTTCCACTTGAAGGAGGACCGTTTGGTTAGTGTATTTGGCTCAGCGCATTCACTCTTCGGCTTGAAGTGAATCCTGCTAGAACTGCCCATTTTGTAGCGCGACTGCACAGGCTTTCGCATCCAAGGGCACAAATTTAAGGCTCCGCCCTGCATCCTAGTGTTCCGATAGTCCACCTCGCAATTTTTTCCACTGTTGCAAACGATTTCATCATCAAGAGAATCGTCGCAACAGTGGACTCGGGATTCGGATGGATCTATCAGTTCGGTTGGCGGTTCTAAGAACTGTTCGGATTCTTTTTCGGTTGATTTTTTCGAGCACCGAGCTAGGCAGGCATCGGAGCTTTCGGATGGGATCGTCTGGCGGGGATGAAAGCGAGGAGAAAATTGGGTTGAGGACTTGGGACCATAACGGGTTTGGAATGGACTCCGTTCTGTTAGTTTTGGGGAGGGTATGGGAACCCCGTTGTCTCTTAGAAATTGTCTATCCAATCGAGTCCATTTATGAACCCTTCCCATGGGCCGACTTTGCCTGGGCTCCTCAGGGCCTGGCGATCGAAATATAGACCTTAGATAGCTTTTATTTAAGGGCAAGGGAGAGACAGAGCCTGAATGCTGAAAGTCAATATTATTATTATTAATTATAATTAATATATTTATAATTAAATAACAATTACCTGATTCAAGTTCAAGGGAGCCAGTGTCTCCTCCGAAGGTCTTGGCTTATAATCTTTGAATTTGAAGGGCTTTGCAAAAGGTTCCCATTTGCATGGGTTTTTATTAGGAATTTTATTACCCTGACCCCTGTGATCTATGGAGTACAGCTCCGAGGCATCCACAGGCTCGTAGTGAGGCTTTTGCTGATGTCGCTGTCGATAGAGATCAACAAAACCAAGCCCCTGAACAGAGTCCTCCAATTCGGAGGATTCGGAAATCTCGACCGACTTTTGTTTATCACACTTGCAGCCCCCTAATTTTTTATCGGAGATCTCAATCGACTTTCTTTTATCCACGAATCTTTTATCTAATTGAAAAATACCTTAAGATGAATACCTTTCAAGTTTCTTAGAAATGTAGCTCTTACTTGATGGCAACTTTCGTTCTTTGGCCCATTCCTGGTCCCCTTCTTGATTACGACTATCCCTGAGCTTGGCCTCCCAATAAGCGATCTTCGACTCACACTCTGAACAGCAGCACTTCTTGGCCATTTTTTAAAAACAACAAAATTTAACAAAACAATAAGAAAAATGGAAAATTTTTGAAAAAACGTAAATACAGTTACAGTAATCGTTACAGTTTCAGTAGAGTGCTTTATCGAGGGTTGCTTATAGATGAATGCTAAAATGACTATGCCTGCTATTAATAAATGAAAGCTAGCCTATGCCTAGCCTGCTGTGATTTTTCCTACATTTTCCAGCAAACCCCAAATACATTTTTTGATCAGCTTTTGAGGTACATGAAAAATACACAATAGCCGCACACTATCTTTTGGGATTTCTTGGGAGGCGTCCGGTCTAATATGGGGTAACGCACCTGTTGAGACACCTGAGCTTGTGCCAGTCAGGGTTTCTGGTGGCTTATCGTCGACTAGAAGCAGCTGGCTCAGCTGGGCCGCCATAAAATCGCGATCGTCGCGGTCTATTTTCTGTTCTCGGCTGTTGAACACCTGTTCTCTTGTCCCAGCGGATCGATTGATAAGCCGACCTCTCGAGACCCTCGCCTGCCGTAAAATTATACGGCTCGGCAACTTCTTAATCTAGCTGCCGGCTGCTATCTTATGGCCGCTGGATGAGTGTGATTCATTGAGAAATGCCAGAAATATCGAGTTGTTGTGAATTCTGGCTTCGACTTCCGGCGAAATGGGACTTGAATTCTTGGAATTGTGGGGGAGTTATTGAGTGATTTGTTAATTAAATTTGGTTGAATATAGCATCTGGGAATATTCTAATAATATAAAACTGATTTATTCAAGTTTTAGACAGATATACGTTATGTAAATATAATAACATTTAAAATTTAAACACAATAAATACTTTTCCAAGAACATTATCACTGCGATTATTTTCGCTTAGAAAAAAAGAAGTATAGATCCCTCAATGAAATAGTTTTGATTGAAATCCATAAGATAATAAATTATTTTCAGGAAAAAAAAAATTAAGAGATCGTATTATTTCTACCTTTTAAATCTTCAAAAATTCAGAACTTTAAGCAAATCAAATAAGCAATTATATCTTGAAGTTCTCAAGCCTAAAAAGTAGTTATATCAGCCTTCTAAGAAGCTCTTATCATCGATACAACTTTGTTGGCAACTTGGCAATTAAGCCACCGCATTGACCTTTAGTATCTAATCGTTTTCCAATCACCTGTCGCTATGGAGAGCCCACATTAATCCCCGTGACGATAAGACCCCATTAAGCCTGCTCCAACGAAATCCAATCGGGACGAATTCAGAAGCTTATCGCGCTTTTGAGAGAGGGAAAACAAAAAAACCGAAATGGGGAAATCTAATCGCGGCCACTCCACAGTCGCCTTCCGATATAGCCTGTCCACCTGGTAATGTGTTGATGTTGGGATGTTTGGTGGCTTTAGTTTCAGTTTCGTTCGGTTCGCTGCCGGCGCGAATTGTTACCACTCCCCAAGCTGTGCCAGTTCTTGAACCCAAGTTTTTTTTTTCTGTGGCAATGAAAGTGATTTTCCCACTGGCCCTGGCGCTGGCCCTATCGGTGGCAGTGGTCCTGGCCCAGAGCGAGGAGCCCGAGCTGGGCTGCATCTGGTATGGCCAGAGTCATCAGATCGGTGCCCACTGGCAGAATTTGGCGGACACAAGACCAGCGCGACCGCTGAACAGTGCCACGGCTGAGGCGATCTTTGCCCGGCGTTGCCCGGTTTTGTACAAGGAGTACAAGGGCGAGTCTGGCGAGGAGGAGCTAAGTCTCTGCTGCGACGCAGCTCAGATTGAGACCATGGACGCGGGCCTGTCGCAGGCGGATGGTGTCTTCTCCCGCTGCCCGACGTGCACGCGGAACATGGCCCAGACAGTCTGCGCCATGACCTGTGCCAAGAACCACACCCTCTTCCTAACCGGCTACAATGCCACCTACCAGCCCACGGGCCTGGAGTTCATCGAGTACATTGATTACCGGATTACAGACGCCACCGTATCCAAGATCTATGACAGCTGCGACGGAATCCAGCACACGCAGACGGGACGACCGGCCATGGATCTGGGATGCGGGGCCTACAATGCCAAGACCTGCAACTACCGTCGCTGGTATGAGTTCATGGGCGACGTGACCGGCGACTATGTGCCCTTCCAGATCAACTATATATGGTCCGATGACGCGGAGGAGGGCAACGAGGAGATATACCTGGATCTGAATATCCTCAAGTGCGGCGAGAGCTACGAGGGCAGCTACGCCTGTGCCTGCATTGACTGCGAGACGTCCTGTCCGCTCACAGATGCGCCCACGGGTCCCGACGAGCTATGGAAGATCGCTGGCCTCTACGGGGTAACCTTCATAGTGGGGTTGATCATTGCCGTGCTCTTCTCGGGTCTCATCTGCTGGGGAGCGCTGAGCAGGAACCGGCTCTGCATGACCAGTGTCTGTATGCCGACGCTGTTTGGGGAGTTCTTCTACCATGGCTTCCGCGTCTGGGGAACATTCTGCGCCAAGCATCCGGTTTTGGTCCTTGCCCTGTGCTCCTGGGCCATCGCTGGGCTGTCCTATGGCATTCGATACATGACCATCACTACGGATCCCGTTGAGCTCTGGGCCGGCAGCGAGAGCCAGACGAGGCTTGAGAAGGACTACTTTGACCAGCATTTTGGACCCTTTTATCGCACCAACCAGATGTTCATCAAGGCCGTCAACCAAAGCCATGTAAGTTCAGCAACCGTCAATTCATTCTGCGAATGCTAGAACCAGTTGGGAATTATAAGTGCACATGTGTGAGATTTTTAGAACAAAATCGCCTTGCAATTCGCCGTTAATTAAAAAAGGAAATAAAGCTCTCAAATTTGAGCTTAATATTAACCTTAAACAAATCACCCCGAAAATATTATATTTATGATTTTTTTATGGCAATTTTTCTTAAATATCAATTAATATTTGTATGAGTGTATTTCATTTGGAAGTGTTATCGCAATTCTGTGCTAATCGTTATCGAATTTATTCACCATTTCTTTGATTTGTGAGTGAGTTTCACTGCCAATCACAAGCGCTGATAATGTCGTTTTTCTTTCTAAGTGTTAATATATTTCAAAAAAAGATGTAAAAGTTGGAGTTGCTTGACAAATAATTCTTCTTCAACCCGTAACCTTTGCAGTTCACCCATGAGGCTCCCAGTGGCCTGCTGAACTTTGGCCCCGCCTTCGAGTACAACTTCCTGAAGGAGGTCTTTGAACTGCAGGAATCCATCATGAAGCTGGGCCTGGCAGAAGGCGAGGGCCTGGACAAGATCTGCTATGCCCCCGTCCTGTTGGCGGGTCAGACGGCCACCGTCGATGACTGCGTTATCCAGTCGATATATGGTTACTTCCAGCACGATATGGATCGGTTTGAGAGCTCCTACGTCGACAGCAACAACTATACGATTAACTATCTCAACCAGCTGGAGGATTGTCTAAGGTAAGGTCAGGGAAGGTAACTGCTTTCCGCATTTTCTACAACGATTTTGAAAATCTTCCCACAGAGTTCCCATGATGGAAGACTGCTTTGGCACCTACGGTGGACCCATTGAGCCCGGTATCGCTGTGGGTGGCATGCCCAAGGTGGCGGTGGGCGATGATCCCGACTACATGCTGGCCACCGGACTGGTGATCACCTTCCTGGGCCGCAACCAACTCGACGAGGCCAAGCTGGAGCCGAACGAGAAGTGGGAAAAGCTCTTCGTGGACTTCCTGCGGGACTACAAGAGCGATCGCCTGGACATAGCCTACATGGCGGAACGGTCCATTCAGGATGCCATCGTGGAGCTGTCCGAGGGCGAGGTAAGCACTGTTGTCATCAGCTACCTGGTGATGTTCCTGTACGTGGCCATAGCCCTGGGTCACATCCGCAGCTGTACGGGCTTTCTGCGCGAGTCGCGGATCATGCTGGCCATCGGCGGAATTGTCATTGTGATGGCCTCGGTTACCTGCAGCCTGGGCTTCTGGGGCTACCTGGATGTGACCACAACGATGCTGGCCATCGAGGTGATACCGTTCTTGGTGCTAGCCGTGGGCGTGGACAACATTTTCATCATGGTGCACACGTATCAGCGCCTGGACCACTCGCAGTTTGCGACCACCCACGAGGCAATTGGAGAGGCCATTGGCCAGGTGGGACCCTCGATCCTTCAGACGGCGGGCAGCGAGATGGCCTGCTTTGCCATTGGTTGCATCGCGGACATGCCGGCGGTAAAGACGTTTGCCATGTACGCGGCGATTGCAATCCTGTTGGACTTCCTTCTCCAAATCACCGCCTTTGTGGCCCTGATGGCCATCGATGAGCGGCGCTATCAAGACGGTCGGCTGGACATGCTGTGCTGCCTAAGGAGTGGCGGTGCCAAGAAGAGGCACTCGGTACAGGAAGATGCTGTTGGAGCTGGCGCTGGCGTGGACCAGGCCAAGGAGGTGGGCATGCTGGAGTCCATGTTCAAGAATTTCTATTCACCCTTTCTGCTCTCCAAGTGAGTATTAAACTCGTTAACCATTTTCAAGAGAGACTCCAAAGGAAACCCTTTCAGACCCGTGAAGGTGTGCGTGCTGCTGATCTTCACTGTGATCACCTGCCTGTCCCTGATGGTGGCACCCTCCATTGAGAAGGGTCTCGACCAGGAAATGTCCATGCCGAAGAACTCTCACGTGGTAAAGTACTTCCGTTATATGGTCGATCTCCTTGCAATGGGTGCCCCCGTCTACTGGGTACTCAAGCCCGGTCTGAACTACTCGTTGCCCCTGGAGCAGAATCTCATCTGCGGTGGAGTCGAGTGCAATAACAACTCGCTGTCCGTGCAGCTGTATACGCAGTCCCGCTATCCGGAGATCACGGCCCTGGCCCGACCAGCCTCGTCCTGGCTGGATGACTACATTGACTGGCTGGCCATTACCGATTGTTGCAAGTACAACGTAACCACCGGCGGCTTCTGCTCCAGCAGTGAGTTCTATTTCGGGATATAGTTATGATTTTTGGATATACATATGTATGTATTCAATGATCTTTCAGACTCCAAGAGTGACGATTGCCTGCCCTGTGAAAGGGGCTTCACCGAGAATGGCCTGAGACCCGATGTGGAGACGTTCAACAGGTATATACCCTACTTCCTCTTTGATCTGCCAGATGCCGAGTGTGCCAAGGCAGGCAGAGCCTCTTATGCTGATGTAAGTTTCTTTTCTTAAAAAAAAAACTTGTAATTGAATTTTAAATAAATAAAAAATACTCTCCTTTTCAAGGCCGTGATCTACACCATAGACGACGAGGGAATGTCCACCGTCCAGGACACCTACTTCATGCAGTATTCCACCACATCGACCACCTCGGAGGAATTCTACTCGCAGCTTCGCGAAGTGCGAAGAATTGCCGGCGAGATAAACTCAATGTTTGCGGAGAATGGCGTTGATGCCGAAATCTTTGCCTACTGCGTCTTCTACATTTACTACGAACAGTATTTGACCATTTGGGACGATGCACTCTTCTCCCTGGGTATGTCCCTGCTGGCCATCTTCCTGGTGACCCTGGTTATCACTGGCCTGGACATAACATCCACCCTGATTGTGCTCTTCATGGTGATTTGCATACTGATCAATATGGGCGGCATGATGTGGGCGTGGAGCATCAACCTGAATGCCATTTCACTGGTGAATCTGGTGGTGTGCGTGGGCATTGGCGTGGAGTTTGTGGCTCACATTGTGAGATCCTTCAAGCGGGCGGAGGGAACAGCACAGGAGCGTGCCCGCCACTCGCTGAATGTCACCGGCAGCAGTGTCCTGTCGGGCATAACGCTCACAAAGTTCGCTGGCATCGTGGTGCTGGGCTTCTCCAACTCACAGATCTTTCAGGTCTTTTACTTCCGCATGTATCTGGGCATTGTCCTGATTGGTGCTGCCCATGGCTTGATCCTGTTGCCGGTTCTGCTCAGTCTTCTGGGGCCGCTGAATAATCTGGCCAGGAGCTCCAGTGCCGAGCCCATTGGAGTCTCCAACTGATGGGGTATATTTTACTCTTAATATATATTTATATATATTATATATTTGTATTTATAGTCTGTGTGGTTTGCTTGATTGTGTGTGTGAGTGTGTGTGATGTAAAGAAACAATTTTCCCAATTTGATTTCTGTTAATTTCAACTGCAAACTGTGAGCTTATATCATCAAAATAGTCGAACAAAAAACGAAAGAGATAATTAAATAAATAAATTATAACAAAAAACTTGGTTTATATTCTATTTTCGGATTGCAAACAATTTTCTTAAGGTTTGTATACTTAAATAATTTAAATAATTATTAGTTACCAAAGTTAAAATCCAGATTAAATGTTAACCAGACTCCCATCTCACATTTTCAAATAAATATACATTTATATAAATAAAGATAACTCCCTTTTTTAAGCTGCACACTTTGGCAGGACTTTGGCCTATGGGGGATTGGGCTCTCTCACTCATTGTTTATCGCTGTCGCACCTTTGCTTTTTATGGCCTTAAGCGACCAACTGCCGCGTGCGCCGTCAAAACAAAAAACAATAAACAAGAGGGGGGGAGTAGCGGTGGTGGTCTGGGGGACTCCAGAGTCCTGTTTATGCCAACTCCTTGGTGGCCAACGCCTCTCTGGCCAAATACCTAAAACGTCTTACGCCTTTTGGGCAGAAGTTTAGCACAGATTTTTTAATGATATCTCTGCCGCTTAAGGGAGAAGGGCTTTGGCATACCCTAACCCAGAGGGGAAGTAAGGACTTAACAAGGATTTTTAAATAGATTTTTAAGGAAATCAATGACTATAATATTTGTTATGTTTTTACACAATTAAATTGACTTTTTAGTTATCTTAATAATAAAATTTTTCAAGTTTCCTTTCGCCAAGTTGAGCTGCTATTCTCAAGAGCATTTGGTGTTTCACAAGGTGCCTGCTCTGGCAAAAGGAGTAAGTTTTCCGGATGATGGCTTCCCTGTTTTTAACTGCCATCGCCTGCTGGTCAGTCGAGTGCTTTGCGGCTTAAGGATACGAACAGGAACCGGAGGAACAGGAGCCCGAAAGTAGACACACAGGAAAGCGCTTAACCCTCAAAATGAGTAGAGTGTTTTTAATTAAAATTAATAAAGTTTAGAGTGGTTTTTCAGCTAAGCTTTCCCTTTTTTGCCTTGAATTTCCAGCCTGCCATCATAATCACTTAATGAGAAATGTGTGTGTGCGGCATTAAGATTCATGCCTCATCGAGTCGCCTGGCACTTCAACTGGCCGACAATTGAAAAGCATAATTATAAATGTATCAACTAATGCATATGGCAAAATCAATTAGCAATTACCAGCGCACTGGCACACACACACTCGCACACACACAGATGAAGTGCAAATTGAGTTGTTTGTGCTCGCACTTATGCTATATGTGTGTTGTGTGTGTGTGCGGGTCAGAATGTTTTTCATCCTCCACTTAATTGCCATTCAAAGTGCCTTAACAATGCCAAGTGCTAATGCCAAAAACGAACCAAATGAGCCGAAACACTTCTCCGGCAAGAAAATAAACACGTGAATATGATCTTTAACCGAACCAGAGTAGTCTTTCGAGTGCGTAAATTGTGCATTTTAAGTGGGTTTTTTTCCATTTCAAGTTTCCCTTTGACTTTTTATATTTAATTTTTATGATTTCAGATTAAAAGAAATTGATTTTTTGCTGGAACTTTCAGTGCAAATATAATTTTCTTGGTACACACTTTAAAGACTAACATTTTCAATTGAAATTTTCTGTTGCCCTGACCTAAACACAACAACACGAGATGAATAATCCATTAAGAGCATCTTTGCAGACTCACAGAAGACCGAGCATAAATCATTCGTATGAGCAGCTAACACATTTCGCCCAGAAATTGAGGCGAATCAACGAATTAATGTGGCAAGTGTGGCAATAAAAATTTAAATTAATTGATTTTCTGTTGCCCGCGGCATGTGGCCCGAATATCCAAAACCAAAAACCAAAATGCGAAACAGAAACAGCAACAAAAACATATATATGTATATATTCGCACGATTTGTGGCCAATTTAGCTGGCTTCCAGCTTTCAAAGGCCATAAAAGGCCAAAAGGCGAAAAGGCCAGGCCCGGGACAGGACTCTTAACCAGGTCATAACTCACGTGAGGCATTAAAATAAAATTTGCGCATATTTATTAATCGGTTATTGGATGCCTATCTTGCTATATGTATCTGTATCTGTATCTGTATCTGCATATGCCATAAAGCTGGAAAAATGTAAAGAGAAAGCTTCTATTCCCTTTGGGGGAATTGCCTTTCATTTTCAATATTTTTTTTGCTTTTTTTCGCAGCTCTTTGAATAATGCGTTTTTTAATTAGTTGGGGAATTTCGGAGAGCCAAGCGGGAGTTGGATTGAGATAAGAAAAGCTCATTGTATTTGTATCTGAAATTAAATTTCAGCTAATAAACATATGTAATGTGGGTTAAATTAAATATTTTTCACATTTAAAACATTTTAAAGCAACTAAAATTAAGTTTTAATTTGGTTTAATGAGCTATCTTATGGCTTAGACTAATATTTTTTAAAATTCCCCTTTGAATGATTCAAAAAAACGTAGAAAACTTAACCTTCCACCTAAACTTCATCTTTTGATTTCATAATCCACACATTTTTAAACTCTTCTAATCCCCTTAAACTTTTTAATTATTTTGCAATTAGCAGCTGGCATTTGTTTTCAACTTTATGTACATGTTTTTTATTACAATTTTTCCAAAGGGGAAGTGGGTTGTTTAATTAATGCAATCAACCAAAGGGCCAAAGTCAGTTGTTATATTAGGGTCAAATGACAGGGCCTAAGCCGCACTAAGCTTTCCACATTTCCATTCGGATTTCCCACTATCATGGCTGCTCGTTCTAAATTGGTTTTTAATACAAATTAATTACAAAAGAGGAAATTCAATTTTTAGAAGCCATTCACAAACTGCCAAAACCAAAATGCAGGCAAAAAAAAAATGAAAAAAGTTAATTAAAGCAGCGGGCACACATTTTCAATGATGGAGATGGAATATTTAATTTATTCATTTGCTGACATAAGCCCGGCTCCGGCCGAAAACTACGGGAATAGGGACTCTGGACTCTGGACTCTGGACTCCGGCTAACCTAGTCCATAGACGAATCAGTAATTTATAAACGTGCTTATAAGCCGCAATCCAATTCGCAATTCGCGTTTTTGGCTAAAATTACACTTGCAGCAGGCCAAAAACCTATTTTCAACCCCCCTTGGATTTACCCCTGAAATATTATCAACACTGACAAAACTCAAAACTGGCAAAACTGGCAAACTGGCCATGGCCATGGCCATGGAATTGGCCTACAGAGAGAGAGAGAGGGGAGAGAGGGGGTTCTCCCGCCAAAAAGGAAGGGAAGGGGTACAGAAAAACTAAAGCTAAAACTGCAAACTGAAACTGAAGCCATGCGAAAGCGCGTGAGCGAATGAGTTTGGTTTCAACTAAAATTAAATTGAAAATGTATAAAAACTTAACCCTACAAAATATACAAATTAAAATAAACACAAGAAAAAATTTAATTAATTACTTGACAGCAAGAAAAATATCAACTGAAGTTATGGCGAATTTTCCAAATTTTTCTTGTGGCCAGAAATCTAGTGACAAACAAAAATCAAACAAATTACTATACATTAAATCCAAATCCTGGAGTCCCACTGTATACAGTGGGTTAATTTTGGGTGTGTGTGTGTGTGTGTGTGTGTGTACGATTGTATGGGTGTGACAGCAATTTCCAACTAAATTATAACAACAACCTCAACAAATGCGCACAATTTTGAGAAACTTCATGCAAAATGCAGGAGCTGGAGCCAGGACATGCCGCAAAAAGAGGCAGCAACAAAAGCATCAGCATCAGCAGCTGCTTGCATTAAATGGCGCACGTTTTCACCCCCCATTCCCCACCCCCTGGCTTTCCCACTACTGGAACATATTGAAAATGTCAAACACACATTTGACCAACACACGGAAAAGCCTGGCACAGCATGGGTTCCCACAGCAGCCTGGAAAATAACCCCACTGTCTATCTAAATTAGAGATGAATGTTGGAGGCGATAACTTGGTTATGATGAATATATCTATAAAAAAATAAAAGAATTTTAAGATTTTTATATGAAAATATAGAGGAAAAATGCTAACTTATAACTATTTGTATTGTACTACAGTGCGTATACTTAATATAAGTGAAGATTTTTGTATTTTTTAAGTTGAAACATTTTAAACTTCGAAAGTACTTTTGTATTTAATTAAAATATTAGTAATTTTAAATCTTACAAATAAAATTAATTTAATTTAATTAAAAATAAAGATTTTTAAGTATGTTTTTATCAGAAAACAGGCGCAATTTTTGCCTCCAAAGAGATTAAATTCAATTTTCTCTTATATTCCTATATTAATTTACCTATTATTCCTAAAATTATAGTTTATATAATTAATTTAAAATTTAAAAAACACTCCCTACCATCCCTAATGCTAATGCATTTTCATTGGGGCAAGTTGTTGGATAAATCCCCTGCTGGGACAGGCAAGATGGCCATGCAGCCAGGCTATCTATCGATTGATTGGCCTTCGATAGATCGCCACACACAAGATAATAATTTTTAATTAATTTTTTCCTCAACCAACCTTTGCATATGAAGTGTGTGCGTGATATGCGACGGGATGTGTGTGTATGGGAAAATAAGAATTAAAATAATAATTATTATTATTATTATTTTGTTGTGGTGCCACGAAGCGCTAGATAATCCAATTAATGGCATGGTAAACACACAGCGACACGTGATCGCACACAAAGTGTATATGCAACTGTATGGGTGTGTTTATTTGGGGCTAGGAAAGGTGTTCTGGCATAGGAAAAATGTTGCAAAATATTTTAGAAAAATAAAGAGCGCTGAAAAAGGATAAAATTTAGTTGGAGAATAATATTATTATTTATAATTGTATTATATAGTATTTTTCAAATATTTTAAACTAATGAATGCGGATGAAAATGTTCACTAAATAAATTCTAATATTATTTTTAAATAATAATACAAAAAATAACATAAAGGTTTCTATTTAAAACTAATTTTTTGTGACTTAAATATATAAATAACTTCAAATCTCTCCCCAAAAATAGACACCTTTAATTCAGAGAATTTACTTGGTGGAATGCCTTTGA